TGATTTATCACAGAGCAGGAGTTCCAGGTTTAGAAATGAGGCCATGATTCAGTCCACCAGCCTCAGCAATGATAAGCTTAAGTGATGCATGTATAACATCTCATTATCAACAATGTAAAAATATGTTTTGTAACTGTGAGACAAAGCTCTCAAGCTTTTGTAGATCAAAAGAACTTTGGCTTCCTGGACTAGTTGTACATTTCACTTTCTCTGAGAAAAGGTAATTGTGGTTTATCTGTTTATAAACAGTAGAAAACTGGAGAAAACAGAATTAAAATTTTCTTTTACCTCATCCAGTACTGTTTGCTACACAGGAAACAACCATAAAGGAAAAAGATCTGTTGCTCTGCTGATTCTCCAATCCTCTTCTCAGTGACAGGAGAAACCATAATAGCAAAAGGCTTTTTCAGCTGGGGCATTTTGAAGACTTTCCATAAGACTGTTCTCCTGATCTCAATACCTTATGAAACATGCACGATATTTCTCCCTCCACCATTTCTGCTCTCTATTTCGGTTACCATTGGCTTCTGCTCCCCATCACACCATGGACCTGCAGATGCTCTGCCTGGGTAGAAGCAGCAGTTCTAGCAGAGCTGACACACTCGCTCCCACTCACAGAATCACCTCAGCATTGCTGCTTGCTCTGTCAGCACATACTTAAAAAAATAAAGGTCTGCATTCTTGCTCAATACTGGATCTTTGGATTTAGGATGTTATATGCCTAATTCTAATCATCATTTTAAGACAAAGACCAACTGCAAAATTTCTTGAAAAGCTGGAAGTACCAATGACCTCAGGAATCGTGCAACCACGTATTTCAACAAAAGTGGGCTCTTCGTAACCATTTCTACAAAGTGCCACCAATGTGTTCAGAGCCTCTGTCTGTCGTTGACTTCAAAGGTCATTTGTCAGCACTTTGCAGAGATGGTCCTTACTACAAATGTCAGCTTGGAAAATACGACAAAGAGCAGAAGTAAGAAACTATTCAATTATAGTGAATGTTGTTCGTACAGAAAGGAGAACTACAGGGACATAGAGGGATAATCTGCATGGGTAAACAAGTTTATAATGAAAACCACATTTAATGGGGTTTTTTTTACTAATGACCTCTTGAAAAAAAAAAGGATTGTTACTACTGAGTGGAAATAGCATACTGTGATTCTGGACTAATAAGAAAAACTTAATTATTATAAATTTCGTGTCTCAATAAGAAATCACAATGCAGTTCATGATAAAACACATAAAAACAACTTTAAAAAGCGTTATCAATAAGAAATTATAAGAAATATTCTTAACAAAGGCAAAGAATTGTTAAATATGTACTGTAATTTTTATCATGTTCATCATGATGTCAAAATTTATCAGACTGCTAGGGTAAAAAGCAGAAAAAATTGCATTATATAACAATTTTAAAATCTGAAATATAGAGATCTTATTTCAAAATGGAATTTATTTGGAAGCCCCACAGATTTATTTCTTGCTGTGTTTTACACTAGAATCTCTTGCAATAAGCAAACATAAAGTGGAGCAGAGAACATAACTTATCATGTGGTAAGAAGGTTTTTTGTTTGTTTGTTTGTTTTTAAAATTAAAGCAATCATGTAGGAAAAGCTTCCTTCAAACACAAGAAACTCATGCTATTTGACTAGTTATGGATACTACTGGCATATAGCATGATGATTAAAAGCTTAGTATTTAATAACCCTGAAGTTTTAGAGCTCATGCTCTATTTCTCCAGACATTATTTGGTTGGCATTGGTGGGATACATAATATTGTACTTTCAGAGAAAGACAGTCAATAATTATATTATTTAATATGAATTTAAACTTCTAAAGTACTAACATTCTTTTATATAAATGAACTGCTTAGTTCTTCAGTGGATTGTAATATTTGTGTAAATGCAATGTATTTCTACAAGCAGCAATAGCAAATAGTTATATTCATGTAAGTTTACATGGCAAAATACACTCAATCAACTATTTGCAAAATATATAGGAAAGTATAATAGCACATATTTTTAATCATCCAATGATTTCCCCAAATGTTAGTTCCCTAGCAGTGGTACCCACGACACACAACTTCCCCCCAGAAAGGTGTGTAACTGCAGAGAAAACAATTTAATTGTATGTATGTCTATATAATATTTTGTATGCAGATCAAACTCTTTGTTCCTGAGTTTAAAGCATACACACATTTATTCTTCTCATATTTTTAGCTGACCAGGAACTGTGTAACTGCATAAATTCTTGAGCTAATATACTGTGGCTCTCAACAGGGCTAATTAGTTTGGGTTCAGCCCCATGTTATAGCTCCAGATTGGCTTGGAAAGAAATCAAAGCAAGCTGTCTATATAAGACTATGTATATATACCTGGTACCAGTAACGACAAATAATGCATTCTAATTCAGAGTTTGATATCCATTTCTTCATCTCTACTTTTCTTTATAGAGGTAACAGTTTATGAAAGAAATAAATCCTTTAATAACAAGTTCATTCATGAAAAAGACAAAATGTTGAGTTCATCCTAGCCCATGTTATTATGTACATAGTAGACATCCCTGTACGTTCATGACACTGCATTCTTCAGTTTTACTTTTTGAAGTGTAAAACTAAAAAATGCTAGCAATTAGGAATGAGCACACCTTGTAGTGTGCTACATATATGTAGCTACCTATATATGTAGGTATATAATTATATATACATTATATATAAACACTTCTGAGATGGGTTTGTGGGCTTCAGCTTGTAGGTAGTGGAGAATGAGATTTGACACGCCTTTCTTTACAAAAATTGAGGAGCAGCAACTCCTTAAATATTTTCTTTCAGTAAGTAAACAGCCTGTTCTCCCTTTTTGCCTGTACTAAAATAAAATATTCCAAACTATAGAATATATTTGAAACAATTATTGCAAATATAGATTTTGCAATGCTGTCCCTATAACCTGCCTGAACATCTGTAGCCTTGATGCACAGGGTGGCTCAGCTCCATCATTGTATGGCAGGAAGGGGAGGAGAAGCAAACTCTAGCAGGTCTCTGTAACTTAACTGGGCTTTAGTTGATACATGACTTGTCCAGCTTATCAACTTACTTTAATCACTCAAAAGTGTTAACTTTTGCTGCCTGTTTCTACTGAGACATGAATTGGTCCTAATCCAATTAACTATCCTTTGAAGACAACAAGACACAGCTGTAGTCAGATCAGAAGACCAGGCATATAGAGAGTAAAATGTCAAACAGAGAATCAAACCAGTAAATTCTGCATTGAAATTATTTGTCCTGTATCTTGGCAAGATATTAAATTCTACAACTACATGCAAGTGTGGAATATAGATATGATTGCAGTAAGTAGTTAACTTCAAATATATCTTTGCTGTTGTTCAGGTTGTCTGTAAGTTTTGCATAAATTTACACTCATTTATGTTTTGAAATATTTCCCTGCAAAAGAAGACGGTTCTCGGACCACAGATACACTGTAAAGAAAAAATCCTGTGGGCTGTGTGTCCCAGTATTAACAAGCCATCTCAGCAAGCAAAACCAAGCATATTTTTGTTCTGCAAGACACTGCTAACTAAATTATAATTCTGTAAAATTAGAAATCTAAATTCATCAGAACATAATAGTTACTGCTGCCCTCTACCAGCAGTCTTCCGGTAGATGGCTGAAATAAGGCACTACTTGCCTTTCCTTAAAAATACATTACAGATTACTAAGCCAGTATAATCAGATATTAGGTAAACTAATAAGATCTTGGACCACAGGTCACTCAATGTCTCTAAACTGACAATTTTTGCGCTCCAGGTAAGCACAGTAATGTTTATGCATTTATTTACATTATTTGTTCTGTTCAAAACAAAAATTCCTGACTTTTTACAGTTTAAACCAATATAAAAGTACTGTGCAGATTATTCTTAATATCCTAGATCTACATCTAGAAAAATCCACTACAGTGATCTAATTTCAGTTATTAACTAGCTCCTCTGTCTAAAAGACACTCAGAAAACATTTTATGCTATTTTTTACTAATACTATACTATGTTGTTGGTTGTTTTTCCAAATAAAATTACAAATGTCCCAAACAGAGGGGAAGATTAAATATCTTGTCACTAGCTGTCATGGTATTTTTCTGCATTTTTTAGGATTAACAGTTCTTAGACACAGATTATAATTACCAACACATAAAAAGAAAGCATTTAGTTCATACTAACATTTCACTTTAATTCCATATTCATATGAAGAACAACAAGTCACCAAACATTTATGGAGACAAAATCTTTTGGGTTTGTTTTTTTTTTAAAGTTCACAAAAAGTGACTAAAAAAAAGGCAAACCCACAAGCTTTACCAATCACATCAGTTTTGCATATGATATATCTACTGCCATATTCACCTGTCTGTAAAGCAGCTTACATAAGAAAACTTGGAAAAACATACCGGTTTTATCAATACAAAACAAATTAATCAGCAAATATTTAAAATTTATGAGGCATTTCTCAATGAAAACAATCATGCTAAATAAGCTATTTCAGGCAGTTCTAGGAAAAGCTTTAGCTGAAAACCTGCATTTACAATCTATCCTAAAAACAAGAAGAACACAGCACCAACCCAAGCATTAAGTCAATTAAAAAAGGGGAAAAAAATGAAATCCCTTCTCAGCTTAATAACTTGTTAGTTCTTGACAAGTGCAACAACACAACAATAAGCCAGTCAAAATGAGTTTTTAAAGCGAGGTTATGCCCTTCATGTTGTGTTATCACAGTGGCAGATCAAACTGCTGACTTGGACTCTTTCTGCCAGCAGTGCTGATGCTGCCTCTATGAGGCTACTGTCACGGAATAGTCATGGTACCTGCTCTTGCCTATAGAAAGGCACTAAATTGAACTCGAAGTAGTGTCTTTGTGATATCTTTTCAACAAGTCATGTCCCATTCAGCCTGCTAGTTTATCTCTGTCAGGCTGGGGGCCCAAGTGGTTTGCATGAGCTGTCAGGGACAGGTACACCAACCTGCTCAGTGCTAAGGAGGTAATGCATCTTTCGGGCTTGGTATTTCTTTTCCTTTTCTTTCTTTTCTAGGGCTTTCATTTTCTCTTCATTTTCCTTCATTTCTACGTACTCTTGAAGTTCAGTCCTGTAATAAAATAAGTCTGCTATTATATTACAACAATAAAAGATGTGCTAATGTTCTATTTTACTTTAACCCTTTCATAGCTAAACAGCTATTATGTATTAGCAGTATACTGACACCACTGGAATGCAAACTTACAGTTCATTCAATTCTACAGCAGCAGGATCTACACAAATATAACTCTGAAAAAATAGGATTAAAGTGATCAAAAGTATGAACAGTATATGTGTTCATATCTCTTATTCTTTTGAAGCATATGTCGACCTATGTATTTTTACAGCCTGATAAAATAGTATTCATATATGTCCTTTTATTTGTCTTTGAGTGTCATTTTAGTCTTATTATCTCCAAGTAGGAGATATTATAATGTAGTGATTTTCCTGAAAATGGTTTTAAAATAAAAGCTGTTCACTTATGTCTCAGCTAGTGCCTTGCAGCCCCTCCTGATCTGCAGAAAGGGGAGATCTTATGGAATGAGAGAGGACACTAGACATGGGATGAAAGATCACATTCACTCCTAGATCCTTGAGCCTTTTTTAAGGTTGAGAATGTAGGCATAGAGAAAAACTGGATGTAAATCTTTTATGCATACATTGTCCTTAAGAGGAGTTTCCATGGCATTAGACTTCTTGCATAGGTCTGGTTTGATAGGAATCATAAAGGCCACCACAAGAAACAAGAATGTAACTGTCTCATGAACCACTGCCTGTGTAGAAAATTCTTTCATCATACAGGAAATAAGGAACTATACCTAATACCGGGTTTCAAAGAATGGAGAAAACTCATGATTTTAACTGAATATTTAGAGTAAAACTTCAACAGAAAATGGGCAGAGATTTCCTCCTCAAAGGCTTTTTTTTTCATAGTGCCAGGCTTGCCATAAATTATGCAAACAGTAGAGTGAATTAATGTTCTATAAGGAATGAAATTCCATGATATTGTGCACAGTGCACGTTTATGGAATTTTTTTGACCCAGTTAAAAAAGGTTAGTTTGATTAACATTTGTTATTTTTGTTATTACAAAATGGCTAGTTCAAATTAACCTGTGTGCCAAAGACACCAAGCATATTCAGTCAAGCATTTAGATTGCTTAAATGTTAATTAAGTGAGTAAATTCTAGTCTTTATTTTTTTAAGCATGTGTGTTTATGATAAAATAAAAAGAAAAAACATTATTCGCATAACTAGATAATTCAAATATTCCTGCAAAACAGATCATTTAGAGAGGTCCACATTTATAGCCTCAGTTGTTTCAATGAGTACCAAATAAGACACTGTGAGGACATGGGTCCAATTATGTCAAAATATGCACATGGATAAGTTTGCTGATATGAATAATCCCATGGGAAAGCCATATTGCTCGTGAAAGTGTTTTTAAGATTGTGGCTCTGACTTATTCTTGATATTTTAGTTATCATTAAATTAGTTCATAAAAATATATGAAAGAATAATAATTGCTTTAAAAATATGAAAACTATGAATTCACATTCTTAAGTACAAGTTGCAGTGTAGAATTTTTATTTGTTTCATGCTATCTTTCAAGTTTTTATCAATTAAAACAACTAAAATATTAAGTAATTAAACAGGTTTTATTTCCACTGTAAAAGAAAAATAGAATGAGAAGGAAATAAAGATTGGAAAAAATGTACAGGTATGTTTCAATCTCTGAAAATATTTTTTGTTGCAGTTTACTGTTAAAGGCTGCTAATACAATATTTCATACAAGGTTACTTATGAAGCACACTGACGTTTAAAAATCACCATGCTATGCTTTTGCAGCAGCGTAATTTTTTTCCAACATAAGATTAAATTGCAAAATAAATGAATTACTTAGAGTGGCATGGCCCCCATTTTGCCACCCTTCTCTTGAAAATTGCTTATTAATATGAAAAAAGAAGTTGGAAAATAGCCTGTTTTACTTTATGCATAGCATTCCGGGGCCTCAAAGCCTGCAGAGCTGGACTAGCTGCACATTTTAGATTGTGTTGGCAAGCGGGGACGATGACCTTTCTGACCTGCATCTCAAGGCTATTATTAATCGCTAAGTAACCTGGTAAAGCCAAACAAATTTGTTTCCATTGAAAGGATCTCTATCTGTGTCTGAGAATTTGTGCTGTACCAAACAAACCTCATTAACTGTGTCCATTTTTGACAAAGAACTAGGAGTTGGAGAGATTGGCGACCTTTCTTTGTCCTTAAGGTACAGATTTCAGAGTCACTGCATGTAGGTACATAAGCATTTTTACTTGGAAACTCTTTGTTCTATATCCATCAATCATAAACAAATGAATAAATCGACAATGCATATAGTATCAACTTTGTTCTTTTATTTTATGCCACTTTACCTTCAATATCAGAATGTATGATCCATGGTTTATGTATTTAATACCATTTCTTCTTGATTACAGAGCCCTCTGTTCAGCTTTACTACCACTATCTATAATGGATGAAATGACCATCAACATATCACTACAGTCTATTCATGTTCTTATATACTCAGGTACTTCTTCCAAACAGTGTATATGGAAGTGCTTTTATTTAGAACAGAACTGGTGATAAAAACCCACAAATAATGTCAAAAATATAGTTTTGTATTACAGAAATAATGATAATGGGATGCAAAATGTTTCCCATTGTCATCAATCTGAATTTACCAGATTGCTTTGAATGATTAATAATCTTTACTTGATGAAATTAGATGAAGTCTAAAATACTTGCTGAAGTTCAATGTAATTCATGATCTCTTTAGAAAGTGCTATCATCCAAATCATCATGATCATTCCTGATTATCACACATCCTCACTAATATTTATACCATAATCCATGTAAAAGTTTGATATTTTTTTAAGCATTTACAAATAATTTTCAACATACTTTTGCAGCCTACACATTTTGTCAGTTGCGCTAAAATATCCCTATCAGGCATTATACTGCCCTGTACATTTGTACCAAACATGCAGACAATTCTGTCTCAGGGATAATAGCTCCCAAGATGATTCTATCCCAAGACACAGTACAAAATTAGGGGTATGTAGCAGTCCAAACATTGCTTGGGCAAAGCACTGATGTTTTAGCATAAATATAGATTTATTTTATTTATTTGAACCTGGAGCTTTCATCTCTTTTACCATACTTTCAAGAATTTGAAAGGGAGCAACAAAAGAATCTAAAAGCAGTTGGATATGAATATACTATTTCACACATTAGCAGATTAATTCTAACATGTTATGCACACGTTATGCAGGGGTTTCACTGTTCCCATACAGAATGATGTGTATAAGCGTAAGTGGTGCTAAAGACATAAACTTAATCTTCCAAATGGAGTTAGAGTTCCAGATAGCTTACATGGAAATGTGCTCCTTGAGAAGTTTCATGCTTGTGACCTGCTACATGTATGCCTTCCCAGAGAAAATAAATCCAAATTCCATTAAAGTAAATTGAAAATTGGTTGAAATCAAATGATTTGTGGATTAAATTTGTACACTTACTGCCAGCCTTCTCTTTGTTCATAGGTATTGTGGGTTCATTGAGCAATCTTTTCTTGGGATATATGGGTATCATCTATATGACATCATGAATATTAGTTATGATGCATGATACTTGGTGGATTCTGGATCAATTTGCTTCAGGATAAACTTTTCCTGGTTCATTGTGAAGTGGGGTAGTTGAATAAAGGCAAATTGTTTGGCCTGTGTTTTTAAAGCTCAAAACAATTTCTGGGGGAGAAAAAGAGTTCTGTAAATGCAAAACATGTTTTAGGTTAATTAATAATCTTGTTCTATTTTTATAAATGATCTGTCTGTTGCATGGCTCATAGCTGGAATAGTACTGCTCATTAAACTGTTAACAACTGAAAAAGCAGGTAATTATTTTAGCACATAAGCTTTTCATTATCTTAAAGTTTATCCCAGTTTATTAACAGCATCTACTGCATCTTTCTACAAACCTGGCTTCCATAGAAGCTTAGTCCTATCAGACTTTCTACCCACACGGGTTTTTATGGAATACCTTTGTAGAGGAAATATGTGGATGTTTTAACAAATGTAGTGTCTTATCATGATCTGAAAGTTACTAAACAAATCAGAAGAATATCAATGTTTATTAGTGCAAGCTTAGGATGCATTCTTTTATTAAAAATATGAATCTACTGGCTAACACAAAGTGTGTGTTCCTTTTCATAGGGAATATTTTGTGTAATTGAAAATAGGCGTAAGATTACCAACATATGTGCTCAAAACACACAATTAAAAATGATCTTGTGTAACAAATCTGTGAAGTAGCGGCTGAATTATTAATAATAAAATTATTTGCTTTATGTAGTTCAAAAATTTAAAAATTTCATCTGACAAGGTAACTTATTGTTATTCTGATACTTCATTATGCAGTAGGCAGTGGTGTTGGTTCCTGCTATGAGATGCAAATTCGGTTGACAGTGCTCCTGCTGTTTGGATAAAGGTTAAAAATACACATATAATATTGTTTCTGGCACTTTTAAAAAGGTCTTTGAGTGATGATTTCAGTAATATACAAATTTTAGTAATTCTGCATAGAACTGCATCATTTTACAAATTCACACTGACCTACATTTTTTGAAGTTTATCAAACTATTCCTTTCTGCTCACATTTTCACTGAGAGTCTGTGGTCCTTTGGCCAAATAATATTTTAAAAATTATAGTATTAACTAAAGGGCATTTGATAAAAATCAATAATTAGCATAGTTGCCTAGAGTACCCAGAAGAAGTATTAAGTTATTGTGATTTTAAACAGTTCAGACCACAAATCATAAAATGCCAGCAATTGAGGCAGTAGGCAACCTTAGCCTAAGAGGAGATAATCTAAATTGATTTTATCTTCCTGACTATATATCATTCTCCCTGCTCAAATACAGAATATGGAAGTCAAAATAAAATTAGTGAGACAATAATTTTGGTACACCACTGCATGCCACTTGATTTCACATCATATTGGTGTGGGTAAGGATAGCATATGACCTGCCATGATA